AGAAAAAAAAGGGGTAGGAAGTATCAAAAAAACAAAAAAAAAAATTTGTCTATCTTAATAATTACTATTATAAGCCCGTGAAAGACTTGTAAAAATTACATACTACTAAATAAAATAGTCCCTACTCTAGATTTATCTAAATAGTATATGAAAGCTCAAAACCAGTAGAAAAATACTTCTTCGACCATATAATGTAGAGGTCGATATTCGATCCTAGTCTCAGAGTATTGTTTATCAGCTTGTTGTATTCGAGGCACGTGCTTTAACGTGTTTGTTATCCTGTTGTACTGATTTAGAAAGTAAACAATACTGACTGTTTTGGTACACGTGATGTCGATCTTTTGGAGAGGGTAAACTGAAATGCTCACTTTTTACAAAAAAATCTTCGAAAAAAAGTGGTGGGCCAACGAGAGTATGTGAGATACTATTAAACTCTTTGTTCTATTTATTTATTTATATATAAAATTATTATTTTATTATTATTATATATAAATCATTATATATAAATATTAAATAGGTTTGTAACTAAAAGAAATTATAATAAGTTTTAAAAATAGTTTAGAAAATAAATAGTTAATATATTAGCTTTCTTAGAAATATAAAAATAAATATAAAAAACTTTACAAAAATATCATTTAAGGCCTTAAGTTCTATCTATAAAATAAAAGGCTCTTTTATTTAAAATTTTTAAATAAACTTATTTATTTAGCTATTTATTTTATAGAATTTTACTAATTATAACTGGCAGTAATCATTACCAGTATATAATTAATCAATAAAGTTGCAGGATCAGATATAATATACAAATTAATTTGTATAATTAAAATAAGAGAATTTTAATTTGGTGTACTATACACTGTGATGCACCTCTGATCACAGGTATAAATAGTGATCATCAACTGATTTATTTAATCGATTTTTTTTTTCTTTTTAACACGTTGGTTTAGTTACTAATATTTTTTTTTGGTAGCAGTTTCGGATTTTTGTCATCGTCGCTATTACTATAGTCATCGTCAGAAATTGGTATCATCGTCATTACTGGTGCCATTGCTTAAACTTGGTCTCGCATTTTGGCTTCATTGTTGGTGCCTGAGTGAATCGAGTGTTACTGTCATTGTAAGTCCAGATGTCGCTGCTAGGTAATGCTGCTCCTTGTTGGTGAAGCTATTTCCAGTATGTACTTGGTTTCGTTGTTGATGCGTTATTACACAAGTTTAGGAGGTTAGCTTTGGTTAGAGCTTGGGTTAAAAAATTAGAATTAGGTATTTGTCGGTTGAATAAGTTAGTGCTTTCAAGAGCTATTCTTGGGCTTAGAATTACTGAGACGTATGATTTCATTTGTTTATTGCTTATATTTTTTGGCTTTGAATATATTATTAATATTTTTTTCTTTTTTCTAGAACGTTTCTTGGGAATTCAGAGTTTTGTTGTTTTTTTGCTTGTGGATATGTTGTTAACAATTCTGGGAGCTATAAGATGTATGTTAGTGACTTCTGGTGACATATGATTTTGGTTTTTTTTTTCTTTTTGTTTCTGGCTTGTTAATACATTACTTACGTTTCTTTTTTTTCTAGATTCATTAGGCATCTTTGAGCTTGTTCTACGTGTCATTAATGCTTTTTTCTTTTCAAAGTACCATGAGGGGCTTCTCTGAACTTTCTTTAGGAAGTATAATTTTGTTCGTTTGTTCTTGTTTTGGTTGTTGATCGTACTACTAATGCTTTTTTTTATTTTAAAGTGTTGCTAAGAGTGTCTTTCTTGTGAGTTTTGGGATGTATAATTCGATTTGTTTGTTGTTACGTTGTTCTGGTTTGAAAACTATTATTAACACTTCTTCTCTTTTAGATATTGTGAAGGTCATCATTAGTGCTATCATTAATGAAAACACAGTTAGTGAAATCGCTTTATTGAAGTAGGCTTTCTATAATAGTTGACGATATTGTTCTAGTTAGATGATCGTCACTTATCGTTTCTTCAGTGTGTGTTGCTAATGTTGGTGTGATTTTGCTGTTTTCGACTTCGTCATCGTTGCTGTGATTATTGTTTTGTATTCAAATTTTAGGGTTAGAGTAGTTGGGATTTAGTGGTTAGGGTAACTGGGTTTTAGGTTAAATTTGTACCTCGCGATATTAATGTTATAGCTCTTTCGAAATTGTCCTTTCACAAAACGATGAATAAAAGTTTTTATTATTATTTAAATTCTTGAAATCGTATAATAAACTTGTAATAATGGTTTAATAATATTTAATGAATTATATCAATAATATTGTAATAATAATATAAGTTCAGTCATATGATCTGGGGTGCATTATGGTACAGGTGTACCATTTTATAAAATCCTTAAAATAAAGATTTTTTTTAAAAAAATGCTGATATCTCAAAAATTTGCTATGAAACTATCTTCGATATTTTAACAAAAAAATTTTTTACTAAATTTTGTATATATCTAACATCTTGCTAAAATTTTTGGTTTTATCCTAACCCTAAAGTAAATAAAATAAAATATTTTTAGTTTATCGTTATTAGCTAATTACAGTAATAATCACTACCAGTTATTTTAAGTAAAAATCTATTTTATATATATTTGGTGATAACAGAATCTCAGATTATTTATATAGAAAAACTTAATTTAAAAATAGCTCTATTTTACTAAATTAAGTCCTAATCTATATAAATTTTTCTTTAATAATCTTATTTTTATAACCAACAAGTAATATTTTATCTAATATTTTTTTATCAAATACTTTTATCAAATATCTTAATACTTTAAAATAGTAAAAAAAATTAATAAAGTAAAATAAGATAATAAAAAAAAAAAATTTTATCTATCATATAGGCTAGATGCTAAGAAAGAGCTGAAAATGAAAGATCTTCAGAAAATTAATTTTTATATTATAAATTTTATAATAAATTATAAGAAAATACAAACTTTAAAGAGTTATACTACAAAATTTTATTAAAACAACTACTTTTGTATTTTAAGTAAAAAATTATTTTAATCTTATTTTAAATTAGTTTATATAAAAAATCTCTTTTAAAAAATTATTATTTTTGGCTCTTTTTCTAGCATCTAGTCTATATAATATTAAACCAAGTTTTAATTCAAGCAGAAGCCCTATACTCTAATTCAAGCTAAAATTTTATATCTTATCTTTTAAGCAATTTGCTTTTTCAAGTTTATTTTAGAAGAAGCAAAGCCTAAGAATACTTATTAAACTAACTTTATGAATCTTGATCCTAATATAGTCAGAAGGCTTTATCTAAAAATACTAACTAAAAAGTCTTAGTAGCTTTATCTTAATTTATTTTATATAGCCAGAAAAAAAACTATTAGTATAAAAAAAATAGAATATATTTATATATTGTGAATATAGTATTAGTATACCTCTACTCTTATTTTAAGAATTAAATTATTAGTAGTTATGTAATTATGATCATAGCAAAGTTAATTATACAAAAAATAAACAAATATATAAACAAAAAGCTTTTTAATTAAAATAATCTCTTTGTATATTATATGCTCTGATTTTGGGAATTTAAATTAGAGTTTTTTAGGGTTTGCATTTTTTTAAATTTTAAAAGCAAATAACTTTTAATCTTTAAGTTATTAAAAAATAATTTTATTATTATCATATTTACCTCTTTATTACAATTCTAACAAGTTCAAAATCATCCAAATCTAATCACAGGATCAAAAGATAAAGCTATGGTCAAATAAAAACACATCTCATATATCAGACAATTGGTTAGACCAGATTTAACCAATTGTCTGATATATGAGGTATATCCTTATTTGACTATAGCTTTATTTCTTGACCTGTGATTAGATTTAGATAATTTTAAACTTGTTAGAATCGTAATAAAGAGGTGAATATGATAATAATAAAATTATTTTTTAATAACTTGAAGATTAAAAATTATTTGCTTTTAAAATTTAAAAAAATACAAATCCTAAAAAACGAAAAAAAAA